CGTGATTTTTGAGCCCACAGCTGTGCAAGCTCCAAGCATTTTCTCTGTCCTGTAACAACCGGATCTGTTACTTTTTTACTCCTGTTTTTATAGTCCTTTTTTTATATGGTTTTACCCAGTTTGAGTTAAGAGTAGTAAATAACTTGCTCCCAGGAAAAGAACCGTGAGGAAGCCCCGAGGCGCAACGGCTTTTTAGGGGACATAACTTCCTCATTTAACATTTGATATGTTTTTTACTATTTTTCAAGGCTGCATTTAAAAAAAATGAAATTCTCCAGAGAGCTGTTCTAAACAAAATTTATTTTTGTTTGACACTTGTGTAAACAAAATGACAAATAAATCTATCTAAGTCTAAATATCCTAAGGATATACCGGTAATGTGTGCTCTCCATACATCATTAATTTCCATTGCAAAATTGCAGTTTCCATCTTCTGGCTATCATTGAAGAAAAGCACTCTTGCATTATGGGTAATTCTGGTGTTGAGATTCACGCATTGCGAAGTCCCTCCTCCCGTGCTGTGATTGATCCACTGAGATCTAAATGGAGTTGATGGCGGTTTACCAGACTGAATTACTCTCCTTGTAATTCAGTCCGTCTGTCGAGGCTAAAGGGGAACTATGTGTGTTTCCTCGTGTCGTAATGAACTTGCCTGTAGTGCTCTTTGCCTTTGTTGAAGTCTGGTTTAACAATGATCGTTCCGCTGCCGTCTGTTTTTATGGTTGCCAGCAAACATTCGTTCTCCTTCTGGCCCAACCTGAGACAGCAGGATTGATGAATAAGGCATTCATAATAAGCACTGACGGTGAGTCGTTAATTAGGCAATAAGGTAACAAAAGTGGAACACAGGTCAGTTTCCAAATATGATAAACAGCTGTCAGAAGAACAATGTACAACAAATCAGCTTCCTTTATATCTCTATGCTACATATTAACTATTAAGTCAGCAGGTTCCTCAAGATTATTATTAACTGTCACTACTATTGTAATTTTGGACTACAACATTTGAAATTTAGCATCCCTGAGTAAATGACAGTAATACTAAACAAATGTATAGACCTATAAATGTGTATTTTCCCCTTAATTTTGATGCAGGATGCTAAGTGAAAGGAGATCTTTTATTGGTCTTACTTTCCAGGCGGGCCCAAGTCACCCATGATATGCATGGTCTGCATGGAGTTATTCACCACCCGGCTGGTCTTCACAAACTCCTCTGTGGGATCCCAGTTGATAATTCTTGATTTAGGAATACTACTATCCCTTAAAAAATAAAAAGCCAGTTTATTGTAAGACAGAATTGTCTTCTTATTTTTTTTCAGATAAATGTTGAAGCATAAGCTGGACTTTCTCCTACATAGTTCGCCTCTCCTGCCGTCTGTGTCTGACGCTGGCCATCCTTTCGGCCAGGAAAGTGGGCCTTGATTTGGTGGTGGAGACCAAGTCATTGTGCTGCTTTTAAGACAAAATAACAAACTTAATGTCTGCATTACAGAAACCATTTGTCAGTCAACTACACTTAACTAATAAACAAAGTGATAGAGGTGACACAATCTATGTCTTAAATCAAAACTATCAATAATAAAACAGTCAAAATTAATTTTAACCATCATTTAAAATATTACTTAATTCATGGAGAAAGCACTCTTTTGGGTCCATTAAATAATTCATTTACCAGTTGGTGAAGTGGAAGGAAGTTTGTGTAGCGGTCATGATCGGTGTAGGTAAAAACCCTCTGATTGCGTCGGCCCTTCTTGTTGAAGGCCCGGATTTCTGTGTGGTACTGGCGATCCAGAGGGGTCTGACAGGCCGCCTCGTTCTGATACAGCTCCACTTCATACTGCAGTCGCAAGCACAGAAAAATGAGAGGGAAAGTCATTAAAACATACAGTAATTAAATAAGGAAACTAACAGCATTTGTTTATTGTGACATATCTGAAGGCATATATATTTAAATATACACTTTAACAATACCTGAAAAACCCAAGAAATGACAAAATAACAGATTTTTTTTTTTTTGTAAAATACATTTAAAAATTGCAACTCTGGAGAGAATAAATCAGGACAGTCCCAAATTTATTGCTCAAGTTACTCACCGCCATGCGATCCGGTACCCATGATTAAAAAGCCATTACTACAACCCTTTTATAACTTCAGGCATTTAGTCTGGTTTGGTTCTTGCTTCTAAACTGAGATTGATCACTAAGATATGTTTGAAAGAGCTACATTATAGTTGCTCACCCATCCAAATGACAGGAATCAGGTATTCTATCACTTCCATGACCATAGATGTATAAAATCAAGCTCCTAGCCATACAGACTGCTGTTACAAGCATTAGTGAAACCGTCAGCTATCATGAGTAAATGGAAGTGTTGGGGAACAACACTGACTCAGCCATTAAGTCGTGGGCATGTAACTGATGAAGCAGCGTTAGTGGATGCTAAAGCACAGAGAGGCTGTCCACTTTCTGCAATGTCGGTCCCTACATACCTCCAAACTTCCTTTGGCTTTCAGATTAGCTCTAGAACAGAGAGCTCCAATGGGTTTCTATGGCCCATCAGCTGCATCCAAGCCACACATCACCAAGTGCAATGCAAAGCTCCCGATGCAGTGCTGTAAAGCACAGCGCCACTGGACCCCAGAGCAGTAGAAACACATTATCTGGAGTGACGAATCATGTTTCTCCATCTGGGAATCTGATGGAGGATCCTGAGTTTGGCGGTTCCCTGGAGAATGGTACTTGTCTGACTGCACTGAGCCAAGAGTAAAGCTTGGTGGCGGAGGGATGATGGTGTGGGGTTGCTTTTCAACAGCTGTTTTATCATGTTTTTTATCTTTATTTGCTTTTATTCACATTTTATTTTATTCTACTTTATGGTCTAATTCATGTAAAGCATGCTGAATCATCCTTGTACTGAATTATGCTATACACATTAACTTGCCTTGCCTTACTGCCAAACCTGCCAGATTACTATCCTCTATTAAATTTATAGTGTATTATCTGGTGCTTGAGGGAAAATGGGGAAACTATCTGCAAAATATTAGAATACTTGTGTGAAAATGTAATGAGTAGAAGTCAGAAGTAGAAAAATAAGTAATGGAATAAAGTATAGATACCTAAAAAGTGTACTTAAGTACAGTAACAAATTATTTGTACTTCGTAATTTGACATCTCTGTATAGGACCAGTTTGATATAACACAATTTCATACAATATAGATAATTAGGGGGGTCTCCGCTCCAACTCCCCATTAGTTTGGGGGTCCTTAGCCTGGAAAACTTTTAAGACCCCTGATTCATAGCATTTGTCCAACTACCATAAACAGAAATTAACCCTCTTTTACTGCAGCTGTTTGTTATTTAACCATAGGTGGGACAAAGCCACAGTTTTTTTTTACCTGACTGAAGAGTTTCTCTTGCCAACCAACCACCACCTCCTCTTCATTATCACCTGTCAATAGAAACAAGACAGATGAAAAACTACTTAAATCCATTCATTTTTTTTTTTTTTCAAGATGGTTTTGAGGTATATCTAAAGTGACAAAAAGATCTTGTAATGCATCTTTAGTCATCTCCCTTCAGTACTTATTGTACCTGAGTGGTCCTGTGATCTGAGCGTCTCCAGCTCGATGTCCCCCTTTGCTTTCTGGGACAGAACCTGATGCTGGAGGTGCTGAGATATGTCAGCTGTTGAAGTCACCCGCTGGATACGGACTCTGGAGGTGGATGCCATATGCACCGTTATTATTCACATTAAGCTATCTCATTCCAAATGAAACTGTTTAACAGCGTTTTCCTTACTTTATTTTTAAGTTTTTCACGGCATCCCGGGAGCGATAAACTGCGTCCCCAGTGTCTGTGTTCCAGCGCTCTGCCATCTATTTAGCAAACATTCACAGACACGCGCCTCGGGTTCGCAGCTACGCTAGCTTGCTCAAATATATCAATAAATAAATAAAATAACTCAACACTTGCGAAGCAGAAACATCTTATAGCAAAGCATACCGTTTAGAATAACACTGTGAAGAAACGACATCAATATAAAACTATAAAAAGACACCACAAATAAGAAAATTACATTCCGCTTGTTTAGCACAGAACAGGAGAGGAGAGGACAGTTGTCGTTTCCATGGAGATTTGTTCTGTTATTTTATGCCACTGGCACAGCAGCTATAAAGGATCATTACCGCCACCAAGTGGACTGAAGTGTGAACAGGAAAAACAGAAAAGAAAAAAAAAATGAAAGAAAAGGAACAAAACTAGATTTTTACTCATATTAATTCTAATAATAATAATAATAATAATAATAATAATAATAATAATAATAAAAACACTTTCAGTTGTAGAATAAAATTATTCTGTCCTTTTTGAATGGTTTGTAATGTGCTCTTTTGTCTGTATGCATTGCACCTCATGGAAACATGCACAGATTCAATAAAACTGCTTTAAATTAAATAAAATTTAAAAATGCTTTAAATTAAAGCCGTTATTAAGACCTGTGTGTGATGTCATACATCGGGTACTGTTTATAATAGCGTACATATCAATGTGTGTAACCATATTGTTTTGTTGTTTGTTTTTTCTTTGTTTGAGGTGGCAGTATTATGCTGTGGGCTTGTCTCACAACCAGAGCCACTGACAGTGCCTGTGGCCCCTCAGCCAGTGACGTTTTTGTTTTACAGAATATTTCTAGTGTCTGTTTTCAGTGCAGGGTCCATCACAGGGTCCAAGACCAGTTCTCCAAATCCCTTTCCTGAAATACTTGTATCAGAAACTATATTGTTTTTAACAAGACAGTGATCCCCCAAAAATATTACAGATTGTTTTGGAATGTATTCAAGGTCAAAACTATTTGAACTTTATAGACTATATATAAAGCCAGCTTTTTATATTAAATTAACCAGATTAAATGAAGTCCACCATTTTGGATTAATAGGGTTAAACATTTAACCCGAAGTTCTCTTTACCCTTGCTCATTACTATAAGAAGACTTCTTTTCTGCCTTACCAGGAAGCATTTTAGCAAATATTTACAAATAATGCTGGTGAAGGTTATCCGTCATCCAGGTCATAGGCATTCAAAATAAATAAATAAGTAAAACATTTTTTTGTTTGTTTGTTTTTTGTTTTTTTTTGTTTTTTTTGGAGTTTACAGATAATAGAATAGAATAGATTCCTTTAAAGTCCCACAATGGGGAAATTGTAGTGTTACAGCGGCCAAAGATTATAACAAAAGTGGTCACACAAATGTAGACCTTAGGAAAGGGTATAAAAATAAAAGAAGAGTAAAAAAAATAACAAATAAAATACTACACTGTAATTTGATTATTGAAAAATTTAGGCTCCTAATTCTCTTTTTGAAAAGCATCATAGCATTTCCGTTTATCGTTCAACCCAAGAGAAAGAACAGTCCAAAGGCATTAATAAGGAGCTTTTCTCACCTCCGCTCTTTATTTTAGTCCAGCAGGGGGCGGTAGTTCCTACCAGCGTCCACTGAGATTCAGAAGAAGCAGCTCAGGCGGGTATGACGTAGTAGTAGTTAGCGCGGGTGGACTGATGTTGCCGATGTGTCACCGTGTTGTTGACCCAGTATAACATTACTTTGCAGTATGGCTTCATTTGTAACCGAGGTGCTCGCCAGCTCCGGGAAGCTGGAGAAGGAGGACCTGGCCGGTAAAATAAGCAGGATGTCCCGGAAAGTGGAAGATACTAAGGTAGTTGTTTTTTTCTAACTAGCTTTAGCATCTGCTACTGTTAGTGTTCAATAAAGTTAGAACTTCGGATTGCTGTGAAGTCCTGACTGCCAGCTAAGGTCTGCTGAGAGTTTTAAAGTAGCTATTCTCAAAAAGTAGTCTTTTATTAATAAAAATGATAATAATTTGGTTTAGTATTCATTGGATTTATTATTTATTAACTGTTGCTTGCTGGTTTTCTTTGTAACATCTGGGTGTCCTTGAATGCATCATTTACACATTTAGAATCAACATTCATCATTATTTTTAGTTACCTTATCTGTCAAAAATAGGTTATTTATTTTTTATGACTGCTGATCACATGAACAAACTGTACAGTGAATCATATTTTGATGTTGTTTATCAGGAGGAAATGTGTGACATGATGAACAAGAAGTACAGTGAATTTTTACCAAACCTTCAAGCATCAGAGGACCTAATGCTGCAGGTTGAAACGGTCACTAAAGAAATGGAAAATCTTAAAAATTGCATCGAATCTGAGGTATGATTAAGTCATTATTAATATGTTTTTTTAATTATAGATATATAGTTTATTAATGGTTTATATTTATAAGTTCAATAATAATAGGATAGGTTGTACTTGCTGCACAGTGGTTGTTATTCCTTTTGTTTCTATGGATCCAGGTGCAGCAGAACATCCAAGTGGCGGGGAACGAATACTTAAAGCTGAAGCAGCAGCTGGAGAAAAACACTATGATTATAGAAATGCTCGAACACTTAAAGGAGGTACGCTGTGTTTGTTGAAATGTGCTGCTGCTTGTTTGAGCGTTTCATCATCTAAACTCCTTTTTCTGCTGCAGTTTCACAGCGCGATGGAGGAATCCAACGAAGCTTTACAGAAGAAAAAGTATGTGGATGCCGCCACCTGTTTGAAAAAAGTAAGAGCTCCTTGTAGCCCTTCCTTCCTTACTGTGTTATATGAAAGATTCAGGTGTGAACAAAAAGGTTCAAATGGCTTTGATTTATTTACAGTAATGGGGAAAATAGCAACCTTGATACAGATTACAAAAGATGGAAATGAAAGATATATTTATTTCGATATAATAAAAAAAAAAAAAGTCATCTTTTCCAAAACTTAAAATTGGAAAAGATGCCAGATGAGAGCAAATTCCTTCTTGTGTTTTAACACAAGAAGGAATTTCCTCTGTATTAACAGATTATAATCCTATTTTCCCCTCTGATGATCTTCCACCTTAAATAAACATACTTTAACTTAAAAAAAAAAAACAAAACAAAAAAACAATTTGATTTGAAAAAAATAAAATAAATTTAATGAAATAAAAAAACAGTAACCTGCCAATTCCCACCGTGTCACTGGAAATAAGGGTGTTTTAATGAGATTCTTCGTCTCTCATCCTCTTCCTTTACAGGCGAGGGAAAGAGTCAATTCCCTGAAGGATTGGAAAACATCCCAGCTTCCACTTCTCAATTCTTTGAGCTCCGAGCTTATAGTGCAGAGAGAGAATTTGATTTACCACCTTGGAGACGAGTGGAAGCGTCTCGTCATCTGGAGATTACCAGCAGCCAAGGGTGAGGCTAAGGAAATAAATTCATTGATGTAAAGAGGAACAAATTCAGTATTTACCTAAACTGTTGTTTGCAATTAAGAATTCAACTGGCTGGTTTATTTTTGTTGTCTTTAGACTCTGGAGGTCCAAAGGCTTTCCATAAGACGGAGCTGGTGCTGACTGATGTCTGCACTAAAGACCTGGAACCGAAGCCGGACCCTCTGCTGTGCTCTGTCCTCCAGGCTCTAGCAGTTCAAGGAGACCTTCAGAACAAAATCAAACTCTTCAGTAAGAAAGGCTCGCTCTGACGCCCCGGTTCAGATTTTCTCTTATTCAGAGAGTAAGAGAATATGCGCATATAAATAGACGGTGCTCTATGGTTATGTTGGGTGTTTATTCTGAGCCAGATTGATTTTCAGTCTGGAAATGAAGGAGTTTTCCAGGTTTGAATAGATCTATCCATTCTTTTGGTCACCCATCTATCTATATTTTTTTTTTCTTCCATTCATATTTTTTAGACTTAAAGATTTAGACTTATAATGTAAATTAATTTTGTATACGAAAAAAAAATTCGATACACACAGCTTTCCGATAGTAAATGAGCAGCTGAGCAGTGAAAAATAACATTTCCCTTCATAAAGTGCAGCAGTGATCAAAATGTAAACAATTTTGGAGAGACATGGTGCAAAAGGCATTGATGTGGAAGGTTCAGAGCAGTGTAAAATTGAATAAATAGATATGGTGCAAAATGCAAAAGCATTGAGTTTAGTTCTAATTTTTGTATGATGATATCAGTTTCTAGATTTGTGATTTGATTTGTGACTTTTTCCATCTATTCATTTTCCTTATTGAGCTGATTTTTTTTATATTTTATCGTCTATTTCACAAACAAAATTCCTTGAGTGCCCTTATAATAAGACATTAGGTTTTTAACATACAAGGTAAACAAAATAAACAGAATATAAAATAATTTAAGTAAGCCAGGGTTTGGTATAGGTAACTCTTAATGACATTATTTATATTGTAAATGTCCTTTCATTATTCTTGTCCCTCCTACAATAAATAAACATCCAGCCTTCCCAAAAAGCCCCTAAACAAAATCTGTTCTATGTTGCTTTATATGCTTAGTCCTTTCCAGATATTGTTGAATTTGTCGATTTCCAGTCTAATAGATGCAGTTAACCTTTTCATATTGTAAATGGTTAGCATTACATCAATTAGCATCAATCCATTCATCCACTTCTGGCACAAGATCACTTCACCATCTTCTGGTTAATACTTTCTTTCTCGCCAACAACTTAATTCAAAGCAATTTATAATTGTCTGGTTTTTTTTAACCAAGTCTCAATTCTCCTGAGATACATAACTTCAAAATGGGTTGGTATTCTAATTTCTATCACTTCATCAATTATAATTTTCAATTGTGCCCAGTACTGGGTTATACTACAGGAGCATCAACAAAAGATGTGGAAGTGATTTGCTTTCGTTTCCTAATAAGATCTCAAATTCAGAACATTTAGTATCTCCATGCTTCTCTGTGCAAGGGTTGCAAAATACCTTAGTTATTCTTTCACATATATTCCCTCTAAAATGTGGAATTTGTGGTTTTCTTTGAGCTGATTATAACTGCATTTTTACCACCTGGACTTTTAGGATGAAAATGTAATCCACAAAAAGTCTGGAACTTTGACTGGACAATGCAAAACTGATGAACGTAATTTTGACAGATTCGTTTTTGCATTTTCTTCCTTGCGCTGCATGTCCAATCCTAGGATGTCATCTTTTTTTTTTCTCTTTTTAGGTCAAGTGCTTTTGAAGAACATGCTGAAGCCGTTGGTCATGCACCCCTTTCTTGAGCT